CCCACCCAGTGTGTGCTCTTGTCACCCTGCCTTCGCCTCTGCGCCCTCTGGGTCGTCCCTCTCCCTGCTGACAACTGAGGTGTGGCTGGCATCCGGTTGGGGATTTGAAACCAGAGGGGGCACATCTCTCCCTTCAGGCTACACACTTGCTCCCTCACTCTATGGAGCCTCTCCAAACTGGGCCTTTAGGTGGCTGGCTTCCCACATCAGAAGGGGCCTGCATGGTTGGATCAAAACAGCAAACAGACAACGTGAGTCTTCTTCAGGCACCCTCAGCCAACTGGTGGTTTTCAGCAGGGGCTTGACATGGGCCAGCCCACGGAAGAAAATTAGAATGGTCCTCCCTGCCACTGAGAGGGCCCTTCTGCATACATGATGACTCTGTCCCTCGATAAATTAGCTCATCCAGCTGTCTAACGGGCTTCAGCCATCCCCAACAACCTACGCAGTTGCTGGTCCATGTCCACTCAGACAAGCTGGAAGGCACGGCCCTCGAGGCTCTCTGCCCTCATAGCTTTTCCTGAGCGTGCTGGCTCTCAGGATAAAAAGAGACCCCCCCAAACCCAGGACAACCCATTGGGTATGGATGACAGCCCCATGTTCTCCTGCCTGTGAGGCCAGAATGCAGAGCTCGGGACCAAGGCTTCTCTTCCCGGGTGGCACCGGATTGATGGCTTGTCAGCTTGGAAAATGTTTTCATCTCTGGAAGAAACAACGCGTGAAAAAGCAGTTCTGAAAGCGGAATTAAGAGCTTGTTAGACACGGGCCTTGGGTCAGGGTAGGTGGCCTATCTGGGGGGCCTTTGAGGAGGCATGCTGGGATTTTTTTTAAGCCAGCCTTTCTCCCCTGCAGTTCCCACTTAATGAAGCCCTTGTACAAGGCCCTTGGAGAGCCCGCATGCTCCGGCGTAGTACCGAGTGTCCCGTTACTGTAAACGGCCTTTTATTTTAAGCTAATGCTATATTTGGAAAGCAGTAATCCTGGGGAAATGATACTGGCACTAATGGGGAACATATTACCTTCCGCGTGCTTTTTCATGTTTAAGGTTTCTTTGTTATTATCTAAGTATCGAGACTCTGCACACACTCTTGGGCAAAAATAATCAAAATAAGCCTTAAAGCAGTAATATTTTAATAAGCATCAAATGTCTTCGATGAGATAAAAGTATCATATGGTGTTTTGATATTGGGCTTTCGTTAAAACCTCATTTTTGAAAAAAAAATTCTCAGATGTACTGGGGGTCAGTGGGGATGTATTTTTAAATTCAGGTGGAAAGAAAAGTTCCCGTTCGGGTCAATTATGCTAATTAAATGCCACAAATGACAGGAACTGCCAGTAAATGAGTTTCTTATTTGTTGCTTATTCCGCCGCCATTGATCGAAACCAGCAGCGGATGACATGGGAGCCGGCAGAGGCTGGAGGCCTCCGTGTGAAGGCAGCATCAAGGTCGCGTACCAATGAGAGCCTCGGGTAGGAAAACTGGGGTTTCCCCAGCACTGTCCTTCTTCTGTCAGAGGTTTGTGACAGCCCATACTACCAGCCACCTCCCTGAAACTCACCTTCGTTTGTCAATGAATGTTGGGCCCGTTCCCAGCGCCAGCTGGGAAGTGCTGAGGGGCCCAAGTTACGAAATGAAACCAAGAGTCGGATTTCTTCACATACAGCCCGCATCCCGGCTAGAGCTGTGGGCTCCTTAGAACTGAAAGGGAAAGCCTTGAAGATTCTGCATTTGGTCGTAGAAAAGGAGGAAACTGAGGGTAAGAGAGAGGAACTGATCTGCCCAAGGGCACAGAGCGAGCTCATTGCAGAACCAAGAATAGAAAGGCAACCTCCTGACTCCCTCTTGGTCTCGTGCCTCAAGTCCTTCCCTCCCCTCTGTGATACAACAGAAGTTGGGCAGCCCCCCGACCCCCCATGCTCCCACCTCCCTGCTCAGGATTGGAATCAGGCCCTGGGTAGGTCGTAAGACTTGAACCTGTCTCTCCATCTAGTAACCGAAAATGGGAGTCAGACCTCATCTGCAAAATGAAATGCTGAGGCCAGGTAGCTGGCTTCTCAGCGGAAAGTCTGCTGTGCAAGCATCAGGACAGACTTCAGTCTCCAGAGCCCGTGTGAACCACAGCAGAGCAAAGAACCATGTAGTGGCACAGTAATCCCAGCGCTGGGCAGGCAGAGCCAAGTAGGTCCCTGAACTGGCTGGCAGGTGCACCCACAGTCACACGCATGCACACACACACACACACACACACACACACACTCACACAGGAAATGCAGTTGACTCTAGGGACCCGTGGTGTCAGACCACTGTGTGGGTGCTACTGTGCTCAGGTAAATTCCCTGAATCCAAGATGTTCTCAGCTGTTGGCATCTCCAGTTGAGTAAACCGTACAGAAGAGTTGCTATAGGTGGAGAGTCATCAAGAACCTGAGAAAGAGGGAAAGTCTACGGACAGGTGATGGCCTCCTCCTGTCTCCCTCAAGCAGCCCTAAGTGGCCCTTGCTACCTGATTCCTAGGTAGGCTGGCTGGGCCAGAAGCGCAGCCCCCTAAGAGATCGCCCTCGCCTTGGGACTCTGGGCTTCTGATCTCAGCCACCTGACGTTGAGTACTTAAGTGAGGTTCCTCTCTGAACCTCGGTTTGCTGGTCTGCTTGGAAAGCTGCAGTCAGCATTGCAAGGGGGGGGAGCGTGTGGGGGGACACACAGTCGCAGAGTACTGGGGACATGGGGCAAACAGTGTTGTCTCAGCTCTGTCCTTGGGATCACGTAGAAAATTACCAGCCATCACAGACAACATTGAAGCCTAACTTGGGGAATTGGGAACTCTACATATATTTGCATTTTGCACTTGTGTGTGTATGTTGTACATAGGTGTGTGTTCATCACAGTGTGCACATGAATGCATGGGTCAGAGGTCAACATTGGCTGTCTTCTTGAACTGCTCGCCACTTTGGTTTTTAGTTGTATCTGTTTTATTTCTGTGATTGACTATTTTGCCTGCATGTATGTCTGTGCACCACATGTATGCCTGGTGCCCACAGAGGTCAGAAGATGATCCTTTGGAGCTGGTGTTTGTGAACCACCCTGTGGGTGCTGGAATCTGAACCTGGCTTCCTCTACAAGAGCAACGAGCGTTCCTGATGGCTGAGCTATCTCTCTAGCCCTCCACCTTGAATTTTGAGACAAGATCTCTCACTGACCCGGAATCGCCAATTCAGCGAGGCTTGCTGCCATGTAGCTCCAGGGATTTGCCAGTCGGTCTCCCCAGTACCAGGAATATAAACACACACCACTGGACACACACCTGCGGGCCAAGCACTGCAAAGAACTGCAGTGTGCAGTGCCTGGTCACATACGTGTGAGCCAAGTACTTAGGAGGCTAAGGTAGGAGAATGTCAGGTTTGTGCTTGGCGTGGGCTTCATGAAAAGCCCTGTATTAGACAAATAAACAATCATGGTGACGCCTGCCTGCCACCTCAACACTTGAGAGAAGGAGGTCAGGTTACAAGCTTGAGGTCAGCAGTGCCGTGCTAGTTTCTATACTGAATACAAGGGTTCTCAGCATCAGTTCAGAACTCTGGCTACCTGCACTCAGCCCACACAAGACCCAGTCATCAAGTCAAGGAAGGGGAGGGACTCACAGGGCCTATCTTTACCTCCGCACTATTGGCTATTGCCAGCCCCGGGGGAAGGGGGAGCTCCTGTCTTTAGTTGTGCCCCCACGGCAGAGCTAGCCCCAGACCCACTGCACACAGATAGTCATCAGACAGTCGTGTCCCCGGGAGCGAGGTGTGTGGGGAGCTTGGCGTGGAGGTGCAGAGCAGGAATGGGAGCTACACACCATACAACCTGAGCAAATCATTAAGAATGTACTCACAACACAGGAAAAAATGCCATTGGGAATGACCCTGAATCCAGAGTTTTCATCCCTGACTCATTTCTCCATAGCGTGTCAAAGATTAAGTTGAGGCCCACCCTGGAGCCCAGTCACTCCCATAATAACAAGGGAAGGAAGGGCAGTGGGGACCCCAGACTCTCCATTGTCGCTGCTTAACTGTGGGTACAGGGGAACACCTGGTGAAGGGTGAGAGAGGACACAGTGATGCTGGGGCAGGGGACACAGAATGGAGGGGGCCTTAGCTCTGGGAACACACTGGGCCACTTGTTGTTACAGAGGTGCTGTGTGCGGGAGGCAGTTGGGGTGTGCAGCTCCTACTAAGCCCTCACTAGTGGGGGTCTGAGGCAAGCCTCTTCCCTGCCATCTCATCTCCAAACAGACTCTGACTCACAGCCTACAGAAATCTCTTATCTACAATAAACAACCTAGGAAATAGGACCCACAGGAGGCCAGATAGTCATCTCTAGTGACAATCCCGGAAGCCAAACAAAAACCTCCCTGTCAATGGGCCCCATATACCCAGTCCTTGATTAATCTCTAAGTATTCCTAATTTTTGTCAATAGTTCCAGTTTAGGATAACCAGTGCATGCCAGATCCTCCCAAGGCTGCCCTGGCCAGTGGCCTCTGGTCAGGGGATATCTAAAGCTCCATGGAAAAGATTGCTCCTGCCTTTTGGTCTCTGCTGAACACAGGTGACAATGGCTGACTCAGGTCAGCTCAGGATAAAGAGACTAGCTTGTGTTTGCTGGTCAGTCCTCATCTAGCTTCAGCAGGGCCAGAATGGCCAGCTCCCAGGGGCCTTAGCAGCTAATCTGTGCTTAGTGAGATTGTGTCCTCCCTCCCTCCCTATGGAGAGACCTCCTGCCCACTTCCCACCTGTTGAAGAACATTGGTCTCTGAAAGGTCAGCTGAGCACAGGACCGTAAAAGTCACCTGAATAAGCCACCTACTGCTTAGGACAGCAGACTCTGGGGAAGGGGAGCAGGAAATGACTTTCCAGACAGGCTCAGCATCCAGCCATAGGACAGTGTGAGTGGGTCCTCAGGCCTGTCAGCAGCCCGGCCAGCATCTAGAGCTGCTGTACTGGCCTTTCCTCCCTCCCTGGTCACATCCTGTTGTCCCTTGTATCCTTTCTGTGAGTCTCTGCATCAGTAGCCTGCCACCAGGACTCGGAGTGGCTGCAGCATACACCTCAGCACCGTGGAAACCAGAGGACACTTACAAAAAGAAACAGACACTGGTAACTTTAATTCTGCAACGTTTCCCCCCCCCCCCAACGGCTGGATATAAAAACAAATGTTGAGAACGGGGGTCATGTTTCCACGTGGAGATGTGGTAGGGTTTCCATCGCAGGGTCAGAACTGACGATATGACATCGGAATTGTCGTGTTTCCACGTGGAGATGTGGAGGGTTTCCAGCTCAGGGTCAGAACTGACGATATGGCATCCGTATTCTCCTACTGTTGAAAGACCTGCACATGCCACTTCCCTCATCACTCCCTTCACCTTGACGTCTTTGCTGCCAGATGTTTGCCACCCCACCCCCACCCCCAACTTTCACCCCACCCCTGCACCACCACCAAAGTCATCGGCTTACTTACCTCCCCCATGAGACCCTGGGGTTCTAAGGAACTAGTCCAGGTCGTTAGGCCTGGCTTATGAACCCAGCTCCGGCACAAACTAGCCTCAGTCACCTCTCTGTTTTTCAGCTGTTTGCATCAGAAAGAAAGAAGGGGGGGAGGGAAGAGGGGGAAGGAGGGAAGGGGGGAGGGAAGGAAGGAAGGAAGGAAGGAAGGAAGGAAGGAAGGAGGGAAGGAGGGAGGGAGGGAGGGAGGGAGGGAGGGAAGGAAGGAAGGAAGGAAGGAAGGAAGGAAGGAAGGACATGCTTTTACAAAGGCTTCCCCAGCTCCCAACCCTGTGATGTTCCGGTGTCTGAGCGCTGTGGCGATGGACCGTTGAAGTCATATGCAAACAGAAGAGCTAAGACCCTGGAAACCCTCCTTTCGGTTCATAAGGTGGGGATGTCTACCTTGCGGCCGAGGGTGTCTCCTGCTCTCCAAGTTCCACTGGTAAACAGCAGCGAAGAGATCTTGAAAATGAAAGCTGTTCTGGGTGCCCAGGTAGGAAGAGCTGTGGATGGAAGGGGAGGGGCCAGAGTTCCAGCCGGCACCTTCTAAAGGATCTAGAAGGATCTAGACCGTACAGGACCTTCAGTGAATATTACAAATGACTCAGCAATCCCAGGGGTTACCAAAGCCTTCTGCCTCGCAGACTGAGGCACCACAGTGTGCATTCCCAAGAGCCCAGGCTCTGCCCAAGCACTGAGGTATAGTCACGGCTATCACGTCTCCTCATCCACCTCCGAGTGTCCTCTTGGCAGTGCCTCTCACCAATGGACCTCTACCTGAAGCTGCACAGGGAGAGACGTCTCTTCAAAGGTACAGACTGTAGAAGCATGTGGTCCTGGTGCCAAGGAACAGCAGTCAGAACCAGGAAGGACAAAGAGACTTCATTGTGAGAACCAGCTCGTGATGAACTGATCACGGCTGCCAGATGCACAACCATTGTCGATAACTTCAAGGCCGTATCTAGGCTCAGCAGGAGAAAGCGCCACAATTGATTAGCAGATGGATTAGCAATGTCTGTCTTGGATAAGGAATGTGTATACTGTAACCATCCACATGTGAAACTGGTTCCGTAAGCCTTGATCTAAGAAGGAAATGCAGAATTGGGTGTCACAGCAGACTGTGTACTGTTGCCTAAGACACAACTGGAAAGAAGGGAGTTCAATCGGCTTCCGTAGAAACAAGGATTGATAATTGCCCGACTGTCCGCTTTCAACTTTACCATGCCATGAGCATGATACACTTGCAATTCTGAGTTTGGGCCTTTTCTCTGGGTGGCAGTGTATAGAAGGAAATCTGGGCATAGAGGCATGGGCAATGACAGCAAGCCACAGTTACCAAACTGCCACACTATCCGCCACCCTGGAGTATGACCATGAGGCTATGAGGATGGCCGTATAAGCAGGTGATCCAGCCTGAGGCCTGCAGGCCACATCAGCCCCTGAAAGCTATATATGAAGTCAAGCACATCTGTAGGAGCCCCTGAGAGCTATGCATGAAGCTGAGCACATCTGTAGGTGAGACCATCCTGTCATAGCCAGAAGCTCCGACAGCCTTACCAGTGTGCTCTGCTGTCAAGTAGGGGCATTTGCACAGTTAGGTGTGCTCACTGTGAGTGCTACCAAGATAGTGTCAACTTCTTATGGCTTCGTCCCATCTGACACCATCCTAAGTCAAACAGCAGCTATAAATAAAGAAACTTAAAAGACCAGGACTAGCCAGGTGGTGGTGGTGGCACACCTTTAATCCTAGCACTCAGGAGGCAGAGGCAGGGGGATCTCTGTGAGTTTGAAGCCAGCCTGGTCTAAATAGTGAGTTCCAGGTCTACACAGAGAAACCCTGTCTTGACTTCCCACCTCAGAGAGAGAGAGAGAGAGAGAAAGAGAGAGAGAGAGAGAGAGAGAGAGAGAGAGAGAGAGAGAGAGAGAGAGAGAACCTATAGCCACTTCCTGATTTAACACTGCATGGTACTGCATGCCTCCCTAAGTAAGCCCCCCTCTTCTCTCCCACCTCCCATTTCCTTTCTTTCTCTCCATCCTCCCTCTTCCAAAGCAATGAGCTGCAAGGTCTCCATTTTAATAAACTGCCCCGCTGTGGTTGAGCTTGAACACGGAGCTTGAGACCTAGTTCTTGTCCTCAGCAGCTGTGAGGCCATACAAAGGAGAGGAGGTAACAGTGGTGATGTGTAAATCTCCTGGCCCCCATTTCCTGAAACTCTTTTGTCTCTTACTTCGGAACTGAGAAACATGGGCTTTGCACAGCACCATCTGAGGAACACACAGGCTGCCTCAGGGAGCTGCCATCTTTAACGACATTGCAGTGACTGCGTGGCTTTTATTTTGCTCTTTTCTGAGGCATGAAGAATCACCGAAGTTAGTTTTTCTGCTCAACTTGTGTTCTGAAGTCGCATCTTGGGAAGTCAGCGCACTTCGGTTCCTCTTCCTGCTGCGATTTCACTTGGTCCCGTTAGAACTTGCTCTAGAAGGCTCTGAGTCAGCTCTAAAATATGTCCATTCAGAACTAGGACAAGTTCACTTTCATCCCTGCGGAAGGGGAAGTGGGCAAACCTGATGAGTGCCCAGGAAGGTGGGTTCAGTGGATGCTCTCTTCTTCCCATGCTCCCTGGGGTCCCCCAAGGCCATAGGGGCACAGCTTGCAGAGGAATGGACCTGAAAACCCCGCCCATGCACCTCACTAGGTCCAACTGGGAAAACCCACAAGGTCAAGATCCTGAGGCAGGAACTGACCTTGTCTGAGGTCTTTGTCCCAAGCTCTTCACAAGAAGGTCCTAAGTAATGCTGGCACTGGCCAATGAAGCCCAGAGGGCTTTTTCCATTGGTTGCTTAGAATATGATCTTTTAGTCTCCAGAGTGCTGGGCTGGAAGTGGAAAACAGGCAGCCCTACCCAACCAGTCCGGGGCTCATCAAGGGTGGGGCTGCTCCCCAGAGGACTGAGCAGACCTGATGACCTTTTCAGAGAAAAGACAAGAGCTCCAAGGCAGTGTCAGATAAGGTGGGAACTTGCCTTGTGGGCTACCCTCCAATAAGAAGGCACCTTCTATTCCTGCTGAGGTCTTGTCTGAGACACTGAGGCATGAATCCTGTAACCAAACATTCAAGTTCTACCAAAGCTTCCCTCTCCTAGGATGGCCCTGGCAAGTGGCATCTTACCGAAATGGGTCTCTCTTGGCCATGGGTGCATTATCTAGACAGCCAGAGAGCAGAGCCCTGGCAGTTAAGGTAGCTGTACAGTCCACCAGAACATTCCATGCTGGTGCCTGAACTGGTTTGCACTGTGAAATGTGGTGTGAAAGTTGAGTGCTTGTACTCTGGTTGGTGTCACTAGGAAACCAAGTGTTTACTATTTAGCCAAGGGTAAAGTACTTGCCTGGCATCCAGAATGCCCAGGGCTTAGACTCCACAACATTGTATAGCTGGTGGTATCGGCACATTTGGGAGGTGGAACCAGAATGACCAGGAAGCTCAAGGCTATCCTTGGCTACATAGTGAGTTAGAGGCCAGCCTGGGCAATGGAAAATCTTGTCTTACTTAAATAATTAATTAAACTAGCCTTGGTGACCACTGGTCATCATATTGGCCAGCACAGTTCTGGGAAACCTAAGGGGACCCTCGGTAGCATTTGGTCCCGGCAGTTTTAGCGTGTGACCTGCCTCACTTGAAAAAGCAAAAACTCATCCCCGTATTCTGTGTAAAGGTCCATCCAGGTCAGCTTTTATCATAAGTGACCAAAGCTTTGAAGTCTTGTTTGGCCTTCCCCAAAGCTTCGGAGACCAGTGCTCACTAGGCAAGGTCTCCTGGCCACACTGATTTCTCTGAGGTGGCCTGCTGGCCTCCCAGCCAATCAAGAAAAGTCTGTCAGATAAGCCTCTAGGCACAGAATGTGAGGATGATGATAATGCCATTTGATGTGAGTCCCCACCCACCTTGTATTGTCCCTGATCTTAGAACTCTGCCCGAGACTTTTCCAGTTTCTCTTGAGGCCCTGTGGCTCAGAGTTCCCTGATGGTCTGTGTGGGTTTTTCAAAGCAGGGAAAGTCACCTCACTCTCTTCTTGATTTGACAGACAAAGTTAATGGCCACTGTTGACCTCAGATGGTGAAAGGGACTCAGAAGGTAGGATTAAGTTAAAATCTTGAAAGATTCTCCTTCTGGCGATGGTGCCGCACACTTTTAATCCCAGCACTCAGAAGGCAGAGGCAGGCAGATCTCTGAGTTTCAGGCCAGCCTGGTCTACAGAGTGAGTTCCAGGACAGCCAAGGCTACATGGAGAAACCCTGTCTGGGGGAGGGGGGAGACAATTCTGAGCTCTCTGGGTGATCTTAATAGGAATCACTAGGGTGATCTTGAGAAGGACACAGGAGGGTCTGGGCACGGGAGGGTCTGGGGATGGGAGGGTCTGGACATGGGAGGGTCTGGGCACGGGAGGGTCTGGGCACGGGAGGGTCGGGTCATTGGTAGGAGCCAGTGATGGAAGGGAGGGACTGACCATCAAGGACAGCAATCAGCTGGAGAAATTGGAGAGAGAGGTCCCTATGGTTTCTATGAGGCATTCAGCCCCCACCAATGCTTTGCACTAGACTCTGAAGAGCAGGACTGGAAGATGATAAATGTGTGCTACAGTAAGTCTCTTGTTTGGGTCATTTCTCTAAGTATAGATACAGCTCTCCACATATCCCAGGTGTGTGTGGTGGTGGCGGGGTCTCCCGCCACTCCCATCTCAACAGGTAGAGGCTCGAGGACCAGTTTTATTTCCCGCAGATCCACTTTCCTCCTGTATGCTTCGAGCCAGAGCTGAGTGGCTGTCCTGCTCAACAGTGTGTGTGTGTGTGTGTGTGTGTGTGTGTGTGAGAGAGAGAGAGAGAGAGAGAGAGAGAGAGAGAGAGAGAGAGAGCAGAGTTGAATGTGGTGGTGTATGCCTTTGATTCCAGCATTAAGGAAGCAGAAGCAAGTGGATTTCTGAGAGTTCAAGGCCAGTTTGGTCTACATAGTGAGTTCCAGGACAGCCAGGGTTACTGGAGAAACTCTGTGAAGAATGGGGGGGGGGGGACTGGGAGGGGATGACTACAGTGAACAGGTCCCAGCCGTCATCTGGAGATCCGCAAGTGTGCGGCCCATTCTGTGCTAAATCTCGCATGAATCTTTCAATCCTCATAACACACTCTATTGACCAGGCTAGGGACACAAACCTTGTGTAACACACCTCGGTCTCCTGGCTGTATCTCTCATCAACCACAGGCTTCGGTGGGCACTGCACTGGGTGCTCTGAGGCACCACACATGGGAATAAAACCGCCATCCTGATGAAGCAGATGCCAGGGAGTTCGGTCCAGGTGGATAAATCACAGACAGCAAGCATCTGCCAGGTGGCTATGGATGGATCCTTTTCTTCTCTCAAACACAATGGGAGATAATTGGAGCATTCCGTGCCCAGCTTCCCCGACATAGATGGCTTGTTTTCCCTCCCTTCGGGCTCTTCTTGACGTCTTGGCCCAGTTCTCCCACCCTCTCCACGTCAGCGACCTGTGGCCCAGAGCTGGGAGTACCTACCGAACCAGTTCTTTGTGTAGCCAGGTGTAATGAATTAATTAGCCCCACACAAGCGTTCCCGTTGATGTCCAGTCCCCTGCTTTCATCAAGAACCCTTACAGCTGGGGCATTAAAGATTGAGCAAGTGTGATGGGGGCAACCGCAGATACAGAACCCCACCTCTAGCTGTCAGTCACAGGAGATGCTGAAGGCATGGCTGCCATGACAACTGACCTCCTCATCCACAACAAACATGCTTCATGTCTGTTAGGACTTAGCTATGACGCGTTCCCCACAGGCTCACGAACCACAGCTGGCGGCACTATTTTGAGAAGCAGCGAAAACGTTAGGGGAAGGGGCAGAGCTGGAAGAAGTAAATTCTTGGTGGAGTGTGTCTCTGTCTGCTTCCTGCTCCATCATCCCTGTCTGCCATGATGCTCCGTGGCACCCGGCTTTGCCGCGTGTCCAGAAACAACAGAACTGACCAGAAGCCAAGGCAAACCTTTCCTCCCTTACGCAACTTACGTTGGGTATTCATTCGGTCACAGTGATGGCAAAATTCATACACCTGCCTGTACAACCTGAGAAGCAAATCCCTCGACGTATCCAGGGATGAGCGAGGCAAGGATGTGCAGAAGGAACAGATGCTTCCATTTGGCCAGATGGCCTAGATAAGAACGGCTGCTCTGCGTGGCAGTGATCAGGCGCTTTCATCTCAGGTGGGGCTTGCCGAGGAAGAAACACATCCTGCCGGCCATTTGGGTGACTACAGAGGGGCACAGCAAGCTCTTTTGAAGTGACTTACTCTTCGGTAAGAATCACAGCAGCGGTTCTCGCTCTGTCTCTCCCTCTCCCTGTCTCTCTCTCTCTGTCTCTCTCTCTCTGCGAGTGCGCGCGCACACACACACGCGTGAGTGTGGGTGTGTGCATGTGTTTGTGTGCGTGCATGTGTGTGTGTGCGTGTGTGTGTGTGCATGTGTGTGTGTGTGTAAACAGGGACTCCCTGTCTCTCTCGCTCTGTCTCTCTCTCTGCGAGTGCACGCGCACACACACGCACGTGAGTGTGTGTGTGCATGTGTGTGTGTGCGTGTGTGTGTGCGTGTGTGTGTGTGCGTGTGTGTGTGTGTGTGTGTGTGTGTAAACAGGGACTCCCTGTCTGCAGGGAAGGAGACAGATACTGTGAGGCCCCTCCAAGGCTTCCACTTGCATCTTTCCATGCAGAGCTGACAGCTGGTGGTGACTTAGGCAAATTTATTCATGGACCAAGGAACCTCCAAAAACAGAGCCAGACCACAGCTGCTTCCCTCTGGGGCACTAGCATTTCATGGGTCTCTGGGGGTCCCAGGTAAATCAGCAAGCAGGAAATGCAGGAAAGGACATGGGTTCTGGAGAAACAAATGTAAAAAGACAAGAATTTGCACAAATGACCTTGGTCAGACCATGAAGAAAAGGGAGAGTCCGAAGGAGACTTTCAATCATGGGGATCTCCTGAGAAATAAACGAGAAATGGATATGGTCGTCTAGGGCGCCAGAGACCGGAGATCATTGCAGTTCAAGGATATGATACATTTTCTGTAGATAATGTCACACAGGCTACTTCCTCACTCAACAAACATCTCAGTTATTCAATTCCATAAAAGTTTGTTAAGGCTTCATGACCACAGCTGGCAAGGGAAATCAGAGGAAAAAGAAGGCTGTGCTGCCCTGTGATAAGTTCCTAAATGAAAACGCATGCCCAGCCCAGAGAACACGCTGGAGAGAAAGCGAATGCCAGTTTCTGGAGCGTTCAGAAAGGCTTCCGGGGCAGAAACCAATGAGATGAGTCTTGAAGGTAAACAGTGTGTCACTAGGTCCTGGAAGGTCGGGTTCATCTTTCTTTAATAGCTGACAGCCCATGGTCAATGGATGTGGTCACCCCCCACCCCCTGTTTAAAGAGAGAAGCACAACGCTGTGATGGTGGACGAGGAGTGGAGGTGACTTCATGATCATCTCTGGTCCCCACATGACGCTGGGACTAGCCAGTCTTCAAAGTCCCAAGTCTTGGCATAATGGACTTGTCCCAAAGGTAAATCTGTGGGCACAAGGATAAGATAAATAGAATTAAGGAAGAATAAATAGACACAACACATCTTGGGGCTGGGGAGATGGTTCAGTGGATACAGTGAAAATACAAGAATGTGGTTTTTATCTCCAGTAGCCTGGTTCAGCAGCACGCGCCTGAAGCCCAGTACTGGAAGAGTGGAGCAAGGAGGCTTGCAGGGGCTCACAGGTCAGTCTGTCAGCCAAGTCTGTGAGCTCCAGATTCTGTGAAAGAGTGTCTCAAAAAATAAAATACACAGTGGTTGAAGATGTCCAGGCATCTATCTCTGGCCTCCACAACTAAGCACACCCCCACACATGTACACCCCCCACATATATAGTAATGTTCACACACAGAAATGCACACACTGAGGAATGTACACACACACACAGAGGAATAGCCACACAGAGAGGAATGCACACACATGCACAGGAATGCACACACACAGAGGAATACACACACAGGAATGCACACACACATAGAGGAATACACACACAGGAATACACACACAGGAATGCACACACACATAGAGGAATACATACACAGGAATGCACACACAGGAATGCACACACACATAGAGGAATACATACACAGGAATGCACACACAGGAATGCACACACACAGTGGACAAACACATCTGAAGCTCCTTCCCAGCAGCTGGTGAGTGATGGTGCTGGCTCAGAGCTTGTACCTACTAGTGAATCTTCCACCTTGTCTTCACACACAATGTTCCTGAGTCCTGAGGCAGGGGCAGTCCTGAGAACTGAGTGGGGTCAATGGCCATGGCCACCCCCGACCCTGTAGAGCATTGGTCAGCCCAGATTGTAAATCATTCCTACCTGGGCCGGCCCTTCCTTAGAACCTCTCTTTTGCCACCAGGGAATGGAGCTCTGTCTGCCTGCTGTCCATGGATGGGACAGCCTGAACAGACATGGCAGGCATGACCTTTTTGTAGAGAGCCAAGCTTGTTTCTGTCTCTTTAAATGAACTTTGGCAGGAGCGTGGTTGTCTATGAACTCTCCTTGACCACTCCTCTGGGGCTGTGATCCACAGCTTTTCCACCTGCTTCTCCAATGGGCGAGAGTTCCCAAGCGCATAGTGGAACATCCACAGTTTGATCAGGTTCCCCGCCGTCAGATCTGAGCCTATGCAGATGAAATGTACCCTGGGTGAGGTGGGGGCAAGGGCAGGGGTGCCCTCAGCTCTCCCCAAGTGCTGGCAGGAAGAAGGCTGCCGGAGAAGGCATCCTGGCCCTAGCCAGGAAGGTTCAGGAAACAAAGAGGAAGGTGGCCAGTCAGGAATGAGAGCAGGATTAAGATCACACACAGTGCAGCCCTTAGAAACCGGCTTAATCCATTTTATAAAGAGTTGGGAGGGTTGTCTCTGCCTGAATATAATACCTTGCACATCTGATCAGCTTTTTCCCAGAACATTTCAAAGCTCTCTGCAAATACAGTGGAGTCTCTTCAGATTAGAGCATGGCCTATTATTACCTAGCTTTGGAGACACCCCAGGTCAGCAGGTCACCTGGGGCCCTCTGAAATAAGTCTGAATCCCTACAACAAAAAGCCTGGGGTGGTGTGGTTTGTCTAACTAGTGGTTTTCAAACTATGTGAGTCATAGGCCCCTTTGGGGGGAAAAAAGGCCTCAAGCTCAATTCTTAATACAAAGCAAAGAAGAATTGTGTGGGTCAGGGCAAAGATCTGGGACCGGGGCACAAAGATGGAGTCTACTGAACACCTCATCCACTGGGCCCCAGGATTCCCAGAAGAGCACTATGGACGCCTGTTAGACCCTGTTCCTCGCCCCAGAGAAAGGGGTGTGTGTGTGTGTGTGTGTGTGTGTGTGTGTACAGGTTCATATTCATTCCTGTCTACGTGTATGCAGAAACTAACTTCAGGTATCAATCCTCAGGCAGGACACCATTCACTTGTTTTGCGTTGTTTTGGAGACACTCTCTTGCTGATCTGAAGCTTATTAAGTAGGCTGGGCTGTCTCGTCCTCCTCGGCACTGGGATTGCAAGACGGCCGCCCGGCTTTCCACGCATGGACTCCGGGATAGAACTCGAGTTCCCATGCTCACCCACCACACATGTCAGGTGTGAGCCGTCTTCCCAGCCCATAGGTAATGAAAACGTCATTCGGGCAGGGGAGGCCCCTTCTGCTCAGTGGCTCCACCGTTAGGTTTGGTACCTAATTGTTTGTGTATTATGTCGTGGGTTTTTTCTTAAGGCTATGTTTATTGCTTTAAATTATGCGTGTGAGTTTGAGGATGAGTACCTGAGGAGGGCAGAAGTCTGGGATGCCTGCGTTAGAGTAATGAACAATTTTGCCACCTGAATTGGACGCTGGGAACTGAGCTCTGATCCTCTGGAAGAGCAGCAAGCCATCTTGCCCACCCACTTGTCTCTCCATCCTCCTATGGAGTCTTTAAAAAAGAAAAGATTTGTGTGTGTGTGTGTGTGTGTGTGTGTGTGTGTGTGTGCATGCGCGCATAGATGTGTGACTGTGACCTGCGGTCAGAGGACAGCTTTACTCACAACTGATTCTGTCCTTTCACCATGGGATTCAGGGCTTGAACTTGGGTCGTCAGATTGGCACTGTAAGGGCTTTTATTCTCTGGACCGTCTTTCTGGCCCCTGTGCCTAAAACTTTTAACTTGAAGAGAGGAAGGCATTATCCCAGGCAGGCCCCTTCCTAGGGTACTGCCATGTGCACAGCTCCGCTTACAAGGCTGTGGAGCCCACCCACTCTCATGTCCTTCAAAATCCACGTCTGTTATTGTGACTTTCCAAAGAAATGCCAGAAAGTCAAATAAATCCACCCACCTGAGAGTCTTCTAGACTAGTCCTTCTGGGCCCCTGAGCACAGACTGCCCCTCCCAGGTGCTGGACAAGCCTCCTCTCCCCACCCCTCCCCTTTCAACAGACAGAAGCTACACCCAGCAAAACTCCAATTGTTTGTTCAGGGATTCTAATGAAACCCCCTCAGGAGAGGCTGTGGGCAAATTGAAAGTCCCCGAGATTTCAGTGGAGCTGTGCCAGGGGGCTCCTTGAGGGGCTAGACACACACACCCTTCTTCTCTCAGCACCCCATGATGAGAGGCCATGGTAGGCATTAACATTGCATGCCATGGATACAAACAGACTCTCTTCAACTAGACAATATCTTTATTACTCTCTGATTCCACCACACACGAGACAAATGGCAAACCTCTGAGTGCTGTTTACCTGGACTAGGAGGGTCCTTCCTTGTTCGTTCTTTGATTCAGGTCCTAGGCTGCAGGGCCAGATTCAGTCCTCTGAATGCATGTTCTGACTGGGAATTGGGAGGGCCCTTCCTGGGGTTGTGAGGATCGTGGGTGCATAGCCCTTAGGGGTGCATCGGGTAGTGTGTACCCAAGAGACGGAAGCTACCCAGGGACTGAAAACTGAGGGGTTCGGATGTAGGAATTGGTTTTGTAGGAAATCAAAATGCTAAGAAAGCAAATGGGAACAGTCTAAAGATGGACAATGTAGGAAGTCACGGGGACTCCGGGGTAGAGGGACAGATGAAAAATGATGGGGTTACCAGAGTGGGCCAAGGACCCTGGTTAACCTGCATCTCCAGGGGCCTCTCCAAAAGGGCAGGAACCATGGAAAAAGAATGCTGCTAATTCTGCTGGCCAGCATGGCACGAGAAGAAATGTCCCGTCTATGCCATCGCCACCCCTGCTGTGCCACGCAACGACCGACCTGCCTGAAGCCACTCAGGAGGAGTCTGAGAGGGAGAAGCAGAAAGGGGCTCAGAGGTATCAGGCCTCACTGTACACAGAGGTCACAGCACAGATGAAAAGGGGCCCAGTGACCCCGATAATCTCCAGGGACCTCTCCCAGCCTGAGCAGCTCTTGACGGGAACCTCTGTACGCGCTACTGTCACGAGTCTTTCTCCGTCTCACCAGCCAAATCCCAAATAACGGCTCGGAGACTCATATTCCTTATGAAAGCTCGGCCATTAGCTCAGGCTTGTCTCAACTAGCTCTTATAACTTAAATTAACCCGTTTATATTAATCTACACTCTACCATGCAGCGTCACCTCCATTTCATCTTGCACCTCCCATTTCCTCTCCATATCTCCTGCCTTCTTCTGCCCCTCAATTGATTCCTCCTCCTCCTCTTTCTTTCTCCCATGGGAAGTCCCGCCTACACCACCTGCCTAGCTCTTTATTAAACCAATCACAGTGCTGTACCTTCACGCAGTGCACAAATGTCTGACAGCACCCACATGATGACAACCACAGAAATCACACTTCTTACGCTCAGGGAAGCTATAGAGGGGAATCTTTCCATCAGCTATGTGAGGTTCAGCTAAACAATTTGGGAGACATTTCTGCTTTCTGACTTGCAGATTCTCTCATGAGACCATGAAAATTATATAACCTATCATTGTTCTATGTTTCCCTTTTTGCCTTAGCTGCCAGGAAGCTCTAAGCTAAATTCAAACTTCCCAAACATGGGTCTTTAATTATATATCATCTCCTCTATGTTCCTTTAAATATGCAATCCCCAGCTTGATCCTTCCATTGATTAAACACTTTTTATCTCAAATACATTTGAATCACAAGGTGAATCCTTTTTTAAAATGCAGCAATACAAGACTGACTTCCAGGTGAATGGCACACACCTTCAATCCCAGCACTCTGGAGGCGAAGGCAGGCGCATCTCTGTGAGTTCAAGGCCAGCCTCGTCTACAGAGCGAGTTCCAGGCCAGTCAGGGCTGCAAGATGAGAGTCTCTCTCATGAAAAGAAAAAAGCAGTATTAAAATGAACGGAAAGCTGGGCTCCAGCCCAGGGCCTTGCCGTGTGAGCAGTCTGCACTGAACTTTGCCCCAGCTGACTGCCTCTGAAGATGGCTCTGTCAGTTCCTACAGCTCTAATTCTCTGTTATATTTGATCTCTGACCTCTTCCCCCACAAGGCTTCCTGGTGAGCTGTCATTTTCCCACGTTGAG